TGAAATTAGATTACTTGCAGGCGTCGCGCGTCGGTCGGGTGGGGGTGGTGTGGGGGTGGGGGGGGGGGGGGGGGGGGGTAACTGAAGTTCAGGAAATTTCACTTGTTTAAGCCACAGGGCAATCAAGTGTGAGCTGAGCCCAGAGCCCAGGTTACTCGATTCCCAGTCTATTAAATGCTCCTCCTACCACATCCTTCTTAATTTTAAGATGCATTTCTACAATAAAGCAAACATTCATTAATCACAGCCTCGAACCCCCGCGCTGCAGTTTGTCGTCTTTCCTTCTCCCGGTTTTCTGGCCTGGGCTCTGCAAGGAAGGGAGCGACAAGTCACCACCAGCCTTGGCCCCCATCCCTTTCGCACCTCATAGTCCATTTACCTGCAAAGCTGTGGAGAGCATCTTCGTTCTCCAGAACGCCTCTCTGTTTGGTCGCCTGCAGCTCACTTTTGGATTTCCACACCAGCTTTACCATCCTGATCATCTCGGGCAAGTCCCAGGGCAGCGGCCCCTGCTGGCACCCCGGCCGGCCGCCCGCGGAGGAGGGCAGCACACCTTCTGGGGCCGTCCACCTCCTGCCTAGCTCTGCCGAGTGCAAGTAGCGCTCGAGGACGGGCATTCTGCCCCGGGCCCCCGCCGAGGAGCTGGGGCTGCTGCTGCCCGGGCCGCCGCGGCCGCCGCTGCTACCGGAGGGGACAGTCTTCCCGGGCAGGGGAAGGCGAAGCCCCGGGAAATCTCCGGCTCCGGAAAGGCAAGCCTCCTCCAGCCTGGCACAGCCTCCCTGTCGCTCCGTCCCTCTCAAACGCTGCCGGCGCGGCCACTCGCTGGGCCAGGTTTCTCGCGGGTGAGAAGTGTTCCGGGGCGCCTGCCGTGGAGATGGAGCGCTCTCCCCTCCCTGCTCTCTCGGGCACCGGCTGCGCGGCGCTTAATTAATCCCAGGCTGCAGCTGGGACGGCGGCGGGGGGGACAGCCATCGAGGCTTTAGTGTTCGCCTCTCCTGCCCGGATTCGTGTGTTCTCCATTCCCCTTCGGTGCTTGTCAAAGTTTGTCCAGTGGCTTGTTCAGCCGCTAAGGTCTCCCGGCAAAGAAGCGGGGCTCCCCTTTGCCAGCCTCTCACGGGGGTCGTCCAGAGGCCCTTATCTGAAGGTGTCAGGTGAGGAGTCACCCCGGTGGTGCAGGAAGCCTAGAAGCTCCCTTCCTCCCCACCTCCCGGTTCCGGGCCCCGCGAGTACCAAGGAGCTCTCGGAAAACGGGCCGCTGAGCACCAGCAGAACCAATTTGCAGCTGCTGCTCTGGGGAAGGTCTGGCCGGGGGCCACCTTGCCTGTCCGCTAGGTCTGCCTTGGGATGGGGTTATGCAGAAGGCTCCGCGACGGAGCCTCAGCACCACGGTTCACACACTCCCTCCTGCACCCCCTCCCCCTCTGCTGTCATTTGGTTCTCAGCAAACCTAACTGGGTTTTGGCCCATTAGTCAAATCCCTTTGTAACCTCGGCTGCCCTTCAGCTGGAAGGGAAATAACATTGAATCACATTCCAAAGCTAACTCCGAGAGAAGTGAATTAGGGAAGCACCAAGATCCTCCTGCGAACATGCAGTGAGGTCCTATAGTCGGGACACATAATTTGGGATGGTCAGAAACCCATTTCAAAGGAAAACAATGATAATTTTAAAGGCTATTCACGGGGGCGGGGTGGTGGTGGTGGTGGTGCATACATGGCACTGAAAAGAAAGAGTGTTGCCGATTGGCTTTCCAGACCCAGAGCGCTCTGGGCTTCATATTTGGGCCACTAACTGCTGTGCCCCCGCCTGTGCGCAGTTCACTTGAGGACAATCACGCGCCACGCTGTTTGGTCCCAGGGCTTCGAGGTGGAGACACCAACCCTGAAAGTCAGAACCCATTCAACAAAAGGGGGGTACCCCCTGTAGCTTGTGTGAAAAGCCCCAGACATAAATGAAAGTGGGGTGGTATTGTGTTTGGCACTTTTGTCAGCAAATTGGGTTTGTAGGAACAATTTGAACTCGAACATTCATGTAGCTCCTGTTTTCTTGGAGGCCATTGCAACAAGCCCAACTTTTTCTCCTTTTCTCATCTCAGCACTGCAAGTGCTTTATTTTATTTAGCATTTTGTTTTGCTGAGGTGCATCTGTTGTTCCTGCTCTACATTCCTTGCGGGCAGGTTTATCATACAACCATTTGATGTTGCTTTAGGGGAGAGGAGACTTGGGGTGTGGGGGAGGAAAAAAAACATTGTAGGGTGTGTTTTATTTTCATCACCCTCATCTCCGTTTTTTACAAGTTGAAACCAGTGGAGGCTACAGTTATTTAGTTGTTATCCTTCGCCCTCTAAGCCTATGGCTAATAAGTTTAGTTTTTCACCCTGAGTTAAATGGCTTTTCTCTTTTTCTGGATGAAAAAAAAATGGTAAGCCTACTCTCTTTCCTAATAGGTGAAGAAACGTCACCATCCATTGAGGGTATAAAGCCACAATAAAAGACATTGAAGACACTACTGTTTGTGAATTTCGTTATTGAAATATTGATCAGACAGCTGTTCTTGTAACTACCATAGTCACTCAACCCAATTAGGGAATAATCAGTAATCCACTTAGGAGAAAGATGTGCCTTTTTTTTTTTTTTTAAATAACTTCCCTCGTTGTTAAAGAATGAAGGGATTTAAGCATCAGTGTGACACTTTCACCACCTCTGACTGCCCTTCCAGTTCTTATCTGACACTTCTATCAGACAGGGGCATTAAGGCTTTCTAGATTTGAAATGATTTTATTTAATAAGCACATGTAGGCTGTTGCACTCTATTAGCATATTTCCTGAATAATGTCTTAAACTCATTCCTCAGTCACAAACTTCCTTGACATAACAACTAAAGAGTTTCCTAAGTGTTCAACTATTTTTATTTTTGTTCAGTTATTTTGCAATAGTACTTAGCATCAGGATATCCTGACCCTTGGAACAAAGGGGTTAAGAACAAAGAAAACAAATATATGATATAATATGTCACACACACTAATGTATTAAGAATACAACTCTCCATGGAACATTTCTTTAAGAATGGCAGTTTAAGAAATCCAAGCATATAAATTTCCATTGTATTCTCTGTGTTGTTGTGCATATTTCCTTGTAAAAATTTATCTTAGAGAAGTTACAAAATGTGGGATCACTGAACGTGAATACCTACTAGTGGGGATGAGTTAAGGCTAAGCAAACACCATCTCAAATCTTCATTCCCAAGAAGGAATCTACTTTGAAGGTTTAAAAATTGAAAAGGTTGCAGAATTCTTAAAAAAAAAATTCTCCCCAATATGGGATTATCTTCATCCCAGGGTAGAAGTGCAAAAATACCACAAGAAAGGTCATTCTCATGGTATTTCTGTCTCACATAGAAACAGGAAGTACAGGAAATCTTGCGGGAAAGCTTGGCTCGGGAGATTTTTGGCTCAGAAGCAGGCTCAAGAGATTAGGATAAACTGACAAGATGCTAGTACTCAGACTAAAATTATTATGCCACACACATTCTCTAACAGGTGGTTTTGTTACATTTCATAGGTAGTATAGGCTGTGCTCTTTTTTGTCCTTCAGATAGTTACTTTGGAAGAGCAAGCCTATAAGCCTATGATTTTAACCTTCCTTAGTGAATATCATTCACCTTGAGACAGTACCTGTAGCCAGAAGTTTAGATCACTGGGGATGGGGAAAAGGGACTGGTGAGAAGGCTCTGTACCCAGCAGAGACATGGAGCAAAGAGGTCTCATCTATGTGACTTGCAAGGATTCTTACAAATCTTAATATCTGTAATTAATGTGCTGTAGATAAGACATTTTAAACTTTCAAAATAACCCCATTTTTAAATTTCAGGCATTGTGAGCCAACCTAACTTTCCAGTAAAAGGAAAATAGGGTAGTTCTTTTCTTGTGTAAAAGAAATGTAATGAGAACTAACCAAGTCAAAGACAGCCTGTTCCAATGGATACCTAATTCTACCAAAAATACTTTGCTACGTGTTTGCAGCTATAAAGGAAAGAATTTGTAACCACAATACTAAAGTTTATGGCCAAGAACAAAGGTTCAAAGACATAATGATTTAGAACCTGGATTATTTTGAAGAATTTCTAGTGTTCTGGGGGCTATGTAAAAATCTTGTAGACTTGTGGGTGTTCTAGTCATTTAGCAGGTAAGTATTATATGTAATTTTAAAAAGAAATATTAACAATATTAAATATTTCTAAGGATTTTAAGGAATATATTTTTTAAAGATTCATTTATTGGAGAGATAGAGAGAGAACAAGTGCATACAAGTGGCTGGAAGGGCAGAGGGAGAGACTCTTCAAGTAGACACCCTGCCATGACCTGAGCGGAAACCAAGAGTTAGAGCTTAACCAAGTGAGCCATCCAGGTGCCCCAAGAAATGCGTTTTTAAAATGGAAACTTGGAAGTATATATTCACTTTGTTTTTTATAATTCTGAATTTATTAACAGAGTCTCACAAGACCTTCATCTTAATGGAAATCTTCCCACTTAGATATTTTGACAATACTTTCTACACTTATTAAACCCCATTCTGCCTCTATCTTTAAAAAAAAATTACAAACTATTAAAGGAGTTTATTAATTTTGTCCTGGCCTTTCCTCTCCATCAGTTAAATAAGGATGTGTAATCACCCACACAGACACACACACACACACACGCACGAATTCAAATGCAATTCAACAAAAACACACAAATGTAATTCAAATGAAACTCAAAATGAGCGAGGAAGGAAAACCAGGTCTCCCAACTTTGTTTAACGTAGTCTAAATAGAAGAAGCTCAAACAACTTACAGTGTCCTTCAAAAGAAATAGAAATGTAATAACTCTGGCTTTCACTAATCTCAAGGAATGATGCCAGCAAATAAGGAAAGAGACTTGGTCTGCAGACCGACCACATAAGGCTGCACACATCTCCACTATGGAAAAGGGAGGAAATGGAAAGGGAGGAAAGTGGATGTGGCAAAATGAGGAAAGATGAAGTAGGAAAAATAGATTCATACATAGTTTGATTTCACAACAGGTGTTTTAACTACAAACAAGTCTTCTCTTATTCCCTTTGCAGATATATATTAATAATGAGAGCAAGAGCAGAAGGGAGAACTCCTTGTGTAACCCATTCAGGCACCAGGACCTGCCTGTCCTCCCCAACCTAGGTTCTGGTTTTCACTATGAGTTATCCGTTCTTCTATTTATTTGCTTTACACATTTAAAGAGAGACACTGGGGTTTTAGCTGCCATGAGATCACTATCTTGGCTCTCAGATATCTTAACTAATGCTAAGTTTACTGTCTCTTGACAGTTAACCCATGACAAACGAGTCCAATAACACAGAGATTGAGAACAAAATGGTAGGAAGACTTGATTTTCTCCACTTTACACCTCCTCCCCCCTGTTGAAAACCCATACATAAAAAAAGACACTGTTTTGTTGTAAAACAACAACAAAAACAACAACAACAACAACAACAACTCCTCAAAACAAACAACTCCCTCATCCCCTGCTATTCTCTCCATTACTGAACATCTGAGCTTTGCTGTGTGACAATGGTATCCTCTAGCGGAAACCTTTCTAGGATTTCGGAACTTATTTCCAATTGGGGAAGATTGTAAGTGGAGTCCACTTCTCATAATTTCATATTGTAGTATGTCAACTTCTGAATAAACAGCTACAGCAACGAAATCTCCAAAGCAGCCCTCTAAGACTTAGGGTTATAAAAATTATGTTTCAATCTCAACTCAGCCCTGAGCTTTGTCTCAAACTTGGGACTTCTCCATAAAAGGGTATGATGTCAATAACCACCTTACTCATCACACTGGGATCTTATAAAAATAAACTAAGATTAACCTGTGAGTTAATTTAAGACCACAATGC